ACAGTCTAAGTCTTTTTTTCTCTTCTGTGTTGAGAGGAGGTTATATATAGCTGTAAGGATCGATAAAGCCAGGAGCTGTGACAATATATATAGTGGCCTGCTGGGGCCTGTGTTGTACTTCAACACATCATATCACCCATGATTTAGACTTTGACTGCTGTATGTAAACCTGACAACATCTGTGGAGAAAAGTCTAAATCAATTGCAAGTATCGGAGTTATTCTTCACTCCAGATGCTTTTTAAACATTTCTTTGATATATATGTATATATAAATGAGCATATAATTGACCTTAAATACAGCAACATGTAAAATAACAAATACTTCATTTAAAAATGTGCTCGAGTTGTGTGACCTTCTCCCACCTTTGTTCAGGGGACATCAGCTGGACACAGTAAAGTCAACCAGGGGCCAGTGGAGGGACACCTCTGTATAAACTGTCTTATTTTGAAGTGAATTCATAATTTGATCTAATTATCAGTGAAATAACACGTCGGCCAAACTCCGTCAGAAAGTGCAGCTGCAGTGGTTGTAGCCACGAGGTCATTCGCATCTCCAAACACGGACTCTAGCTCCCTCTAGTGCCCAAGTAGAGTGAGTGTAAGAGCGGAGGGAACCGTAGAGAGGGGCCCCTGAGGACCGCAGCGTGAAAACAGGTTTATGTTGGAGATGAGGTGATGGGGATGATTTAGAGTTTCACAGGCTGCAAAATCAGAAAGGTTCATTAAAAAAAACAAATGAAAGAAACTCAGAGGAGAAAGAAAGAAGCGTGTGTCTATATTGGACGAAGATAGATAGATAGATGAACTTTATTGATCCTAGTAGGGAAATTGTTATGTCACAGCAGCAGGTCAAGGACATTCACAAAGAGTAAGAACACAGAGACAAGGTAGAAGATGACATATAAGGAGGAGGGGGCAAAATGCGTTAGAAAAATATTAATATTATTGATAAAGTCTATATTCAGGATTCATTGATCCGATTAATTGATTTAAATAATTCTTGACAATATTGATTAGCGGTGAAGAGACTGTTTTTGCATCGGTAACATTTTATTGTGAAACCCACAAATCCCGACACCACACACACACACACACACACACACACACACACACACACACACACACACACACANNNNACACACACACACACACACACACACACACATACACACACACACACAGTCAGATGCGCTATAGGTATATAATTGAATGAAATAAATCCTGTTTTTAAATGTACTCAGCTTCTTTATTCAGTTGGCCTATAGGAGTCTACAATTAACCACTGTCCCTCTGATTATCAGTCCAGCAGCAGTGATCAGTGAATCCACTTCTACCTTTGGAGGTGGCAGCCTCACAAATCTTTGTGATAGATTATGTATCTTTAATTAATATCAATAGAATAAACCCCCTCCAAAAAGCCCCGCCCTCTAATTGGATTAAGCGGCAGTGCGGGGCGGTGCGGGGCGGTGCGGGGGAATAGTGCGGTAATGAGTGTAGCGAGCTCCTAATGTGCTCTGAAGCGCTGAAACCAGGAGGCCTTTCAAACCATTAACACCGAGAGAGAACATAACAAATCTATTGTGACATGACACCCTTATGTGTCTGACACACACACACACACACACAGATAAACACACAATACGCACACACACACACACACACACATACAGTACACACAGCACAGGCCCACACATCTTGGTCGTAGACACTAGGAGGCATTATACATTTGCCAGCTCCCTACCCTAACCTTAACCATCCAAACTAAGAGCCCTAACCCTAAACCTAATTCTAACCCTGACCCTAAAAGTCTTAACTCTCAAACAAGCCATTGAAAAAGTGAGGACCACTTAAATCTCCTCACTCTGTTAGGTCAGAATCATCCTCACAAATATAGAGTACAAGTACACAAACACACATCTGTGTTTTTCTGTCTGTCTGAGACAACGATGACTGACATGTTATTATCACATCCCATTAATAAAAACATATATTTGATGTTTTCTTTCAGGACAAATGACTCATGATAAATCAATGAATTAGATAAATATAAATGATTACAGTGAAAATGTGCATGATATGTTTAACAACAGAGCAAACCTTATCAGGCTGCTACATTTGGTATCGTTCAAAATGTAAACGCAACATTTATTTTATAGCCAATAAAGACAATTTAATTTGACAAATCAAGAACATCTAAAATGATACTCTTGACAGAAATGCAGTTTTATAAAGAATATCTTTTTTTCAACCCAGTCTCATCTGAAAATGTGTCCGAGCTGGTCCACCGTTGTTTTCCATTCTGTGCCCACATCACGTGATGCGCAAGTTTCCATCTGTGAGAAAATGTCTGATATTCCTTGTATTTTGAAAAACAATTTCATATTTAAACATAGTTTAGGCATTAAAATACATTGAGCGAGAGGTTTCAAGGACGTGAATTAAACACTGAAACCCAAAGATTTTATAAATCTGTTGGAAAAAGTCTCCCATGTCAGTGTGAGTGATTATGGTTTTGGCTTTGACAAATTTTTGCAAAGTTTTTGGAATATCCATCAAGTGAGAGTCGAGCAATGAGGAAGGTTTTACAATTACAACAACTGAGATGTGGTTGTGAGGTTTTAGTGTCATTAAATGTGACAATTTGATAAATAGAAAGTCAATGAGTTCCTGTATATGTGGACAAGAATCATTTGGAAACATGAACTCTTCACTGGATCACGAGGAATTTATTTATTTATTTATTTTATTTTCAGACTGGTATGAAGGAACCTTCATCAGAGGTGGGCAACACAGACCTCTACACATCTCCTGTTTCATTACACATCAACACAATGTTCCTGGTGGAGTAAATAAGAAATGAGGAGCTATGGTATGAGATACAGATCGTCTCTTTCATTCTCACTCTGATCTGTGAACTGGAGGTGGTTTTAGTTGTTTGCTGGTGCGTTCGTAATAAACATCAGCGTTGAACTCAAAAGACATTAAATGCCTGAAAAGAAAAAAAGACTTCAAATGAACAAAGGAGTTGTCAGGCGTTTTAATTTCCCCAAATGTATGAGTTCTGGTCCTTTTAGTGGGGAAACATGAATAAATATCATCGTATTCATGTTCGTTAAACTCCAAACACTGAAGTCAGTAAATATCGTTTTTGTTCAGTCGTGGAGGTGTCATTTAGATTTTTTTCATGCTGCTGAAGAAACACAGCAAACAGTCACATTTACCTCCAAACAGTAACATTACAGCTAAGTTTATGAAGGATCATCTGGTTGGATGTATTATGTTGAAATAATAATGAAGACCTACAGAGCCCTGTTTCCTGCTTGTAGTTTGAGGGTTACTCGATTTTAAATACGTGCTGATACAAACACAATGGAACTGAATATACAGCTCATAGTATCATATATTAAATGCCCAGCTGTAGGAAAGGCCTGAATTCTTTTGCGTGTAATATTTACTTTTTAGTCTCTTTCTATTATTCATTCACTAACTTTAATTTACTTATTATTTACTGGTAGATATCCTTACTGTCTTTCTCTGTAAATCATTTCTCAACAAACAATATGCTGAAATGGTGAAGGAGAGAGAAATAAAAAAAACTCCATTAGCTTTTATAAATAAATTCTGTTCAGTGCACTCACCACAAGACGGCACTAAAGAGCTTGACATGTTTGCATCATGGCATTGATGATGTAGGTTCTCTGTACAGAGTGACATATTATGTTATTATGTCACTTGATGCACAAGGCGTGTGTATGTGTGTGTGTGAATAGAATGAAATGAGGCAGAAGACCTCATGGCAGAAGAATTTGCCGAATATGATGATACTACACTATTTAAAAACAGTGGTTGCTTTATTACCTGTAGTTTTGTACATGACAACATTTTACATTGACTACTTCTACAAGTTGTACTTGTAGATCTCTGGGCACTGTAGTAGTTTAAAATGTCATAACCAAAAAAAGCTTAGAATCATGAAAAGACTGTCAAACACTTTGTAACCATTTTTCAAGTTTCATGCTGTATTCTCATGTTCTTTCTGTCTTCCTTTATTGTTTTCTTCATGAACCAAATGATCTACACATAATAGAAATATGCTTGAATTACACCTTCCAGTCTTCTGTTTTTAATGCACTCTGTATCGTTATGTAAGAAGAGCGCCGCACAAATAAAGTTTTTATTATCATTATCAATATTATCACCTCTGCATCAGTTTCTTAAATATTGCCAGAGTCCCAGATGACAGCTAGACAATTTTCTGTTCAAATAATTTCATCATTAATAAATCTCAAATATCCTGTTATTATGCTCAAGATGCACTCATTTGTTAGTACATATTTTACATGTATGTCACCCATTATTAGATGTAGACCATCAATCAGTAAGAATAAAAAATGAAAACTTGAGGGAATGAAAGATTAGACATGGACGTGGTTATCGGACACCTCACTGTTGTATGGACGACTGAATATACGGTCTGTCTGAAAAAATACTGATTTGTATGTAAAACCCTGGGACAGGTTTGTTGAACTGAGGGAAATGGACCAAGCATCTCCCTGCAGTGGTGTTATTAAGACAAGATCCCTAGTTACACCACAAGATGGCAGTAAAAGCTTGGGATGAGGACAACAAGGATCAGTCCAAACTCAAATTAGAAACTGTAAATATGAATAAGGACTAAGTTTAGCTGCAAATGATGAGGTACTGACTATCATCTGGAGTCACTTTCAGAGAATAATCAATTAATTATACAACCAGTCTCAGGAATTACTCACCACTCTTTTACCTGCGCTCTTCAATAACGGTAACTAACTTGACAAACAGATCAACTGAATGATAAGCGAGTGGTTACTGAGCCCATCAAGTTTACATGGAACTGTCTTGCCTCTCTTACCTTAAGTCCTTCATTGGATCCATGAAAAACCAGGGAAATAGCAAAAAAAAAAACCTTTGCAGTGTTTCACAATAACTCGAGACCACTCTGTTTGAAAAAGCCATGATCTTCTTCCACACAGTCTTTTATTTGTAAATAATAAAAATGAACTCTTGAATATAAAACATACACATCAGTAGAGCCACATCTGTTATACAAACAAGAACTGTTGCAGTGAATACTTCGCCTTTCGTCTAGAATCATGGTTTGGGAGTGGGGAGCCGTGGGCTGTAAACAATCAGTATCCCTGGAGTAATACTGACAAAGGAAAAGGCAGTCGGCCACACCGCCAAGTTTCAACAGAAACATCCGCAAAATATGTCTGCAAAACCACATCTCTCGTTGGTTTTAGAAGTCCAGTCCAAACCAATAGTAATAAACAGGGAAGGGGCATTTGAGGAAGAGAAAGTAAACATTGTTCTAATTGGTTCTGCTTAGTTTTCTTTTAACTGGGACAAAAATAAAGGCCTATTAGCGCTCCCTTGTGGCTCGGAGCCGCTCAGCAGCTCGAGCGCATCAACAGGACGCAAACTCCCCTCAACGAGATCAGGAATGTTTGTGTGTCAGCGTTTTTTTGTCTGTTCATATCTTAAACTCAAGCCGCTCATCCTGATTTGTATGTACAAGGTGTGCATGTCTGTGTGTGTTGGGTGTACAGTCAAATACACTCTTTTTATATTCATATATCTATATCTTTATCATTTCTGTCAAACTCATAATGATACTTCATATACATTTAGCTGTTATACACACATTCTCTATCTCTGTCTCTAGCCCCTGCTGTCGTAAACTACAGTTTAGACGTCTACTCATATCCTCAGATACACCAGGGGCTCGAGTATGCTCAGTACTACAGAACAGCACTGTTGTTCAAAGGGTTCAAAGAAAAACTCAAACAGAATCATTTGTTTTCTGGAGACTTCCGAATATGGATATTTAGACCCAGAGTGGTAGGCGTGGCCTGGGTGGAGTTGACCCCCCCACCCCTCATTGGTCCGCTCCTGCGAGGGGGCGGGGATGGCTTGGCTTTTCTCGGTTTGTATTCATATTCAGTACGAGCAAACTGTACAAGAACATGCAACATACAAGCTGGCCTAAAAGTATGTGGAACTAACACACATAGTCTAGTCTTTTTTCTGTTTTTGTTTTTTGAGAACTGTTCGTTTAATTTGTCTCGTTTTCGATTTTACAAAAAAAGTATAGAGAACAAAACAAAAAAACGAAACAAACAGAACAAAAGAAACGTGCATGCAGCTTGGGGCCGGGGGCGGGGCATCCCCGAGTCATGCTGCTCCCTCCTACAGGGGGAGTGTGAGGGTTTAGGGAGGGGGAGAGAGGGGTGGGGGTGAGGACTGGGTGAGGGGTGTTCGGGCGAATGTGGCCTGACCTTTGTTGTCGGCCTTTGGCACATCATTGCTCGAAAACCAAACATACACGTACACAGAGGGAGTCTGCACCTTATGGTACCAATCTGAACTCTAGGCAAAACAAAGACATAAAAAATGATTCAAAACTAAAAAACAAGAAAAGCAAATAGATAATTTGGCCTCTTTTTTCGTTCTTCTTTGTTTGGACAAAGAGTGAAACTTTCTGTTTCTCTGAATAAAGGACTCAAGCGTTTCTTGTGCTTGCTTTCATCATATCTCACAACAAGGCTAAGAATGTGCACGTGTAGGCCCCCCCTCACCTGAAGGGGTCACCAAACTGTGCCAAACCGTCGCCCCGCGTGTTATCTAAAACAACACTGTTACTATGGTAACAGTACAGCTGCATCAGTTTGCTACTTACTAACTCCCACACACTGTTTGGACCTTTCAGTACACTCTACTCTGATTGGCTGGGGCGCTACTGGGCGGAGGACTCTCCTTGGCTCGAGTGCCCAAAAACAGTGAGAAGAAACAAACAAAAGAAAGGAACAGTAGAGAGAAGTGAAGAATGTTGGACAGAATCTCTACTGCTGCGAGTCTGGAGGAAACAAAGAAAGCAAAGCTTTAGAAACAAAAAGGTGTACGGAGGAGGAAGAGGGAAGGTGTGAGACGTGATTGTCAGACTCCAGCTAAGCTTTGATTGGCTAGTTCTGTCTCTCCCTCTCTCTCTTTCTCGCTCTCTCATTCCCTGTCTCTCCGTCTGGCTTTTCACTGGTTGACCGAGGGCGTCATGTTGTTCTTGAGTGGGATCTCGCCCTCGGCTCAGCTGTGGTCCAGTAGCTGTGGTCCATTATTTTGTCATTTAAGGGATATTGGGGGGGTTGCAGTCACTATCCGGTCACTAGGACCGAATGCCTGGCGGCGGTCCTGAGCTGTCTAATGACGTCTGAGATGCCAGTCGCGTTAATGGAGCTAATGTAGGGTCCACCAATGAAGATGGCGGAAACAGTTTGAACCAGCCAATCACCGTGCTTGAAAGGTCCAGCTCCTCCAATAGGATCTGTGCTACACCCATGAAACATTTGTGGTCCAATCGTCCGTAGTCGCCCCACACTATCACCTGGAGAAGGGAAAGGTACACAAGGAAAAACGAATGAATCCCTTTTTAACAAATCACTGGCAGCTCTTATGCTGCGTTCTCACCAAACGTGAATTTTCACATCACATTATTTACATGATAAACACAACCTGTGAGTTATTGGACACACATTTTATGTCCATTGCATTCGCCATTTACATCTTTGCATTGCCTTTGTATGTAATCTCATCGTGTGAAAAATGTACATTGCATTTGATGTGAACGCACCATTAGGCTTCATAACAAGAGAGCCCCTCACCCCAACCCCTGGTCCTGGACCATTTCATCAGTTCTCACTAAAATCTGTGCTGCACTGAAACACCATAAAGTCTATCAAGACAAGTTAACATTAAAGTCATTCCAGATGAGTCAAAGTAAAGTCTGATGTATTTTAAGACATTTGGCCAATTATTATTATTTTTAATTATCCTTCAGTCAGTCTCATGTCAAGTCTTAAGTTGTTGCAAACAAATCCAAGTAAAGTCTCACGTTGTCATGACTCCACGTTTTGAAAGGCTGAATTGGTTCTGCTCATTGACTCATTTTTTGGACATTTTCCTTATTTTTCTTGTGTTTGGTTGTTCTACTGTGAGTTCTGTTTCCTGTTTTATTTTGAAATTATACTCCTTGTGTCCAGCTTCATTTCCTGCCTTTGTCCTGTTTCCCGCCTCAGTGATCCTGAACACCTGATCTTAGCGTGTTTCACCTGTGTTCAATCATCCCTGCAGCCTCCCTTGTGTATAAAAGCCTCTGTGCCTCCCTTTGTCAGTTTGTTGTCTTTCTCTGGTTCATTGTGTTTCCTTGTCATCTTGTTTCTCTATCTGCTGTATGTGCCAGTGTTCTTGGTTTTCACTATGTTTGTCCATGTTTACATTATTTTGGACTTGGTTTTGCACCCAGTGTGTGCTGTTAAGTACTTTTGCCTCATGCTTGGTCTGAAGTAAAAGACTTTCACCTTAACCCGTCTCCTGCATTTAGGTCCTCCTGCTCACCTCAACCGACAAACGTCACTTGAGATGAGACGTTGATGGACACAAGTGGAAAATCATTTGAGTTTAGTCAAGTGTCATTTGAAGGCTCAAGTCTTAAATACATGACAGGACAGGTCAAAGCCAGCCTCGAGTAATTTGAGTAGATGCCAAATCACAGGCTCAGTCTTTGTAATCAAAGGGATTTAGTGAATTTGAACGCAAAGTACTGGACAGTAGAAATACTGTCTAAGAGTTCTTCATTCTTATTTCAGAGTAACAGTATGAACAATTTAGGATTTAGGGTGATGTAAATATACATTTCCCAAAATTCCCTTCCAACCCTACACAAATCCAAGACTGATCTCAAGTCCCAGAGGGCCGCAGGATCAACTCTTTCAGATAAACTCCAAATTAGTGTGAGGTAATTCCAGACTACTTAAGTCCCAGGTCGTTCAAGACAGAAATATTTTTATACCATTTATTTTGCAATAACATAAAACCAAGTCAATTCCCAAACAAGTCATTCAAAAAAAGACAAATGTAAAAATCATTAAAGACAAAACAAATCTTGAGTCAGTCCAGACAAGTCCAAGTCTGGTCAGGTCCATAGGACAGAACAAGTCTTTGTGAGACAATTTAATACAATTCAGTTCTTTCATGTGGTGGAAAGCAGGACTGTATGGAACATCACTTTCCATTTAAGGCTGTGCTCATTTTAATGTTTTAAAAGTATAATGTTATTTTACCTATTAATAAAAGTTTCTTTTTTATGGGCCTTCCCATTAAAGAAGAATCTTTTTGGGATTAAAATGTGACTGGATACTCATTCACAAAACCACCCACACAGAACATTACCTGGAGCACCTTGCCCTGTGGACTCTCATCAAAGAGCAGTTGCTGCTGGTAGAGAGGCTCCAGGGTCTTTCGTGCAATCTTGGTTTTCTTTTTGGCTTTACAAGTTCCATTATCCAGCAAGTACACCTTCACGTAGGGAGCTGGGAATGGAGGGGTGGGGTGACGAGGGAGGAAATTGAGAGAAGGAGGGCGGATGAATAAAAAGTATGAGGTCAAGAAGGGATATAAAGGAAAAGAGGGAGAACAGAAAGTTTTGAGGGAGGAGAGAAAGAAACTTTGTTGGGTTGTACATTTACAAACAAGGGACTCTTGTAGCTTCCTGTTGCTCAATTTGACTTTTTATTGTTTGGTTCGATGTTTTAAGATTTGAGTGTGTGTGTGTTACCTGGGAGGGATTTGGAGCCTGGTTTGGGGGTAAGGCCTCGTGCCCTGATCACCTCCACTTCCAGCTGGCCTTTCTTATCCATCAAACCAATCTGGACATCACCTGAATATACAGGAGCCATACAGAGTGTTAATTAAAATGTTCAACTGACAAAGGCAAACATTTAGACAATAGATACACTATGAATAGAAAAGTATTTCTCTAGATTCATAGAAAACATATTTAACAAGGACAAAAAAGTTTAATATTTGTTGAGCTGTCTCTCACCCATGGCAGGCGTTGCCAGTGTTTGCCGGCCCACCAGCTGACCGGGGCCTAAACCATCCAGGAAGTCACTGAACTGACTGTCGGCACCCAACCGCATCCCTGAGAAGATCAGACTGACACACAGAGACACACCAGAGGAAAATCATTCCCTGTCTTCTCCATCTTTGGCTATAATGGTTACCAGTGTGTCATCGTCAAAATGTTTTCTTTGTTACATGCTGGGGGGTGGGGACAGAGTTTCTAACTTCATTCCTGACCTTGGAAGATGACAAAATAATCTGTTATGAAAGTTCTTAATAATGACACGTGTTTATCTGCAGATTGATTGGATTTAGTTTTACAAAACATACAATTTCAGCTTTTTCAATCAGGTGCAAGGAGTTTTAAAGCAGGTTTGATTGACCAAAAGGACACAAAGACACTTGTGGTTTCATTATGGGAAATGCAGGATTCTCTGTTTATTCTGGACTAGAAGTCTCTGCAACTTTTTTTGAGAAATCCTTTTCAGTCTGTCTTATCTGAATTCTACTTTCTGCAAATGCAATGTGCATGATGGGATAGTTTAAAAGTTTGTGACACCTTTGGAAACCTGCCTCCTTATGATGCATGCTCTTGCTGTTAACCAGTATAAACACATTTACAATCAAACCACATATGTTTGCAGCACAACCTTTTTAAGATTGAATCAGATTATATCCATTGAAAAATGGAATTAAGGGTAATTATTGTGTTCTTTATAACATCAATTGTACAACATGATGATTATAAACATCCCATGACAGGAGAGGTTGAATTCTGTAGATTGGCTTGGTTTTAGTGAGCACTTACTTCCCCTCAGAGCTGTAGCTGTTCATGCTGCCATCAGTGGACTCTCTGCTGGCCTGCCGGTTCATGGCCGACCCTCCGCGCGGATACTCCACAGCCATGCCAGTCTCCACGCTCCTCTGGATGCTGCTGCTGCCGGCCTTGCCCCCCTTCTTACCTGTTGACACCTCTGTGGCAAACACAGAAAAGAGGTGTTGAGCCTCTGCTATTTGCATGTGACATTTAAACCAAGGCTGTTATCAGTTATCAGGCATCTCAGGTTCATACCTACCCAAAGCTAGAATTTGAACACAGGGGAAATTTAGTCCTAGGTTACAAACCTTCGGAAGATGAGGCGATTCATATATTTACTATAAATTCAAGGTTGCTATACTTTGACAAGCCTGATAACTAAATAGTGAGGTTTATTACTGTGCAGGTCATCCCATGCAAAACAATATCTCATGGTGACCTCACCATCACCTTTAGAAAATATGCTGAACAAAATGCATTGTTGTACACAGCCAGTACATGCACGTCTTCATGTTGCTAGGAGAGGGCTCGCAGAGATGATCAGACATTTTGTGGAATGGGGAGTTTTTTAGGAGGAAGTTAGAAATTTGAGGTGGTGAGGTCACTGGAGGAGAATCTGAATGAAAAGAACATATCTCAGTGAGTCTACTTGTTACTTTATTGTGTAGCAAGGGAGCAAAGGTAGAGAAATCACACAGTGTGCGTCCATGAAGGAAGAGTTCAGCTCTTTTTAAAAGCCTGCTGCTGTTGTCATAAACACAAATTTTATTCAGATTCACTTTTGTTACTGAAAATAAATCTTTGTACTGAATGAAGTTTTCTGACACAACCAGGCTTCTTGTAGAACTGAACCAGCCTGCAAACAGGATGGTGGTGGGAGCGGATGGAGGTGGGAAGCGTGCCAGAGACAGAGTTCAGGCAGGGCTGGAGGTGCTGAGGACCCTCGTCTGTCTAACAAAGCTACTCCTCAACCTTTCCTTTCACTCATTCTCTCTTTCTAACCATGTCTGCCTGAGTTTGGTCTGTTAAGTTTGCATTCGTGTCCCTTTATTAATCAACCTATTCTTTCTTGTTCCTTTTCTCAATCTAACCTTAAAATCATCAGATAATTAACATTTGCCAGCTGCTATTAACATTATTGAACCCTGCAAATGTTTTTCCTTAAACATAATATCATGCTCTGCTTACGATTATTATGAAATAAAGTGTTTTCATTTACTCTTTGTCCTGTCTTATAGTGTCTGTCTGCTCACTTTTCAAACTGTCCATCTGTCTAACTATTGCTTTACCTTTCTGTCTGTCCACCGCCTTACCCGCCGCTTCTGAAATAACACACACAACAACAACAAAGCCCATAAACAACAAAACATCAGAAACAGAAACACTGGATACACCTCTAAATCGGGTTACTGACATAGTGGTTCTTGTACATCTGTGTGTTTGGTCACACTTGATTAGAAATGATTAGCACTAATTAGAGAAAAGGATTTACAATAGATGTTCTGTCTGACATTAAACATGTTGTTTATTTTATAAGAAACATACTAATAAATTATTAGTTAATGTTTCCATAGTAATTGTGCTTTCTTGATACAAACAAATTGTCTGCTATCATTCACATTCTGCTGATAATGTTCATTTGCACACAATGCCTTATTTTTACACACAGCACTCGTGTTGAAATTTGCTGTCAGTTCTTAAGAAACGACTTAACAGCAGTTAAGACTTATCCTCAGGTTACATGTGCGTAACAAAACAGTGAAGTGTACCACTGTGTGTCAGTGCAGTGTGACATCATTGATAGGGGGTGTGGTCACAGGGGGAAAAGAGCCCACATCTGACCACACCAACTACAGCATTTAGCGATGCTGTGTGTGCTCAGAGGTTCAACACACCCAAACTGCAGGAACACTGCTCTCCAGCTGTTGTTACTCTTTAGTAGTTGTGACTACCTGTAGAACACACCACGGGGGGGCGACTGTAGCATACAATCAAAGAAGGGACTGTTGCCTTCAGCCACTGTTACCCCCCCCCCCCCCCTCGTGATTGTCTTACTTCTCTACAAAAATAGAATGTTGTAATCACATAAAAATCATAAAGGTTTTAAGAAAGGTTTAGAAGATCACCTTTCCTGCTGAAAACTATAAACGTTTTATATCAACTTTTTCTTTTTGCCAAAGGTAAAGACTCTGGAAGGTTTACGACACAATATAAAATGCTGTTTGAGGCAGACTGTCTCACAGACAGCAGGACTATTGATTTACAGTAATTACACTAATGTTCTAAAATGATAGTGATACTTAGATGAAATGATACACACGTCTTTCTCTGAGGGCTGACGGTCATTGTGCCATGTAGTTTAGGATAAGGAGGTATTCTATTTCTATAGGATATCGTGTATATTTTCATGTTATTTATCTTTCTACATCATCATCTTAGTTTGTATGTGATGTTTCATTAGTGAGAGTTAGTCAGACTCTGCTCGTGTTACTTTATTTCTAAGCGTGTGTGTTTGTGTTATGGTTTCTCAGGGGGTCGGTGTGCTCTCTGACCTGTCTGGCTGAGTTGCGAGGTACTCCGGCTACGTCTAGATGGTAGGATGGCAACAACACGTTGGCTCAGGCTCGAGCGCCGCTTCTTGATTCCGCTCCCAAGGCTCCCCAGCGCGGTGTCTGATTGGCTGCCATCGGCGTGCTCCATGCCGTAGATCTCACCACTCACACTGGTGCTCTTTATAATGTGGTGGCCCGTTACATGCATGGCTCGGCTGAAGTTTGTGATTTATACAAACAATCAAATAATGTCAACCGAAATCAAGCTTTCAAATGACTCAATAACACCATGACTGAAAAGTAAACATTAAGTGAGAATGAACTGTGCGTGTCTGCGTATGTGTCTGTGAGCGTGTACCTGAAGCGTCCCCAGGGTCTCTCTGACTGGATGGACATGTAGCTGGTGCTACTGATGCGAGAGGCACTGCTGGTTCGAGAAATGGCTGACACGTCGCTGACATCACTGTCTGAGGACTTATGGGAAACGTTTTCACTGCTCCTCCTGTGATCCTTGTAGAGCTGCAGGAAACGCATGTCATAAAGAAATCCATTTATCGTTATCAATCCACCAGGAAGGGTGTTAATACATCAAGAAGATGCACACTTCAATGGTGGACTATTCAGTATTTTAACACAGACGACGACAACCTTTCAGCATCTGTCAACCCTTCTGTCTCACTGCTTCGCTAAAGACAGTGAGGGTCCACACCGGGTTGACGTTCCCACACATTTGCATATGACCTCACTGCTCTCTTTAACCTGGTTGAAGAAGCAGCACACAGTGAGGCGCTACACCCATTGTACACTAGTACCTCCACAATAGTGGAGATGTAATTTGCTGGGAATAAAACCAGATTATGTTTTAAATTTGAACAGAGGACAACTGTTTAAACGCTGATCCACTGGACTCAGTCTTCTGATGATGCTAAAAAACCAAACCATAAGAGAGAGAGAGAGAGAGAGAGAGAGAGAAATCTTTGTTTGCATGGCTGTAATTTCCTTATTGTGAAAAAGTACAATTGAAGTTTAAAGCCCAGCACATGCTCATGGGTGTCTTAACTTACTTTTGTCCAGTTTGAATATTTGATAAGATTACATCCAGTCATCAAACAACCAAACTAAAAAAGTGATCAATAGTCATCATGGCAGGAAATGTGAAGTTGATAATATCTGCACTTCTTGTGCTGGTTGCAGGGTTCTTAGTGTTGAGCATGCTGACTCACCATCATGGCTCATTTGTTTGAACCTGTGATCACCCTGTAATGCCAAATCCAAACCTCTGTTGTGAGAGAAAGCCTGTGGGACACTGGTGTGTAGTTTTAGTTTATTAGGATAATACTGTATCCTGGTAGTGAATAATACAAGCACATGCTTCTAGGAGTGCTGTTCAATAACTTACATGCAAATTGTAACATTTATGTCAACAAATGAGCTTGTGATTGCAATATCTTAGTAGTGTTCATCTACATGAATCCCACGACCACAACTGATTTTAATGACACAGCTCGATCAGCTACAGCACTTTATTGTTATCATTAGTTTCAAAGCAGAGTTCCCTTCATCACACGATTACAATGTTGATTTAAACACTTTTTTCACTCAAAGATAACATTCTTAGTGTTAACATATATACAAATATATATACAAATATTTAAAGGTGTTGTTTTAAACTATTTAGATTTTATTAAAAATATATGAAAGCTATTGTAAATCTCAAAATGGCCCAAGCCTTGAGCACTTTCCAATGTCTTGCCTGTTATAACTTTCCACACCTATTCTTCCATATCAAAGCATTAGCTGCCACTTTAAGCTGTTATAGTCGGTTTGAGCTGATGATTTATACCTTCAGATTTAATTCGTTCCACATTCAGTCAGACGGAGGACAGTGTAATGCATCACAAAGACAGCACCATTGCCACAATGTATTTTGAAAAGTTCTGCTGATGGCATGTAGACATGTGTGAAAGTCAGGGTATCACCATTAAACTGTCAGCTTTCTGTAAATTAGGGTTATGACGACCAGCCAGTATGGATAATACACTTCTGTATTCGAGGTCTTACAGTAGAGGCTTTCTTGAGTGACTGCCCAGTTGGAACACATTCATTTTTCTGAGTGGTCTTCACCAATACTGTAATGTAATTTATTACTTCCTTGCACAGTCCATGCAATTTGCGATGCACTTCAGCAGCGTTATGTCTCATAATGACTCTGGGTGGAGTGCTCTGCTCTGCTGATGAGAGCAAAATGACAAAAATGAAAAGGCCCACCTCTCGTTTGTTCTTGAGAGCTCTGTCCAGGTCCTGTTGGCTGGAGGTGGAAGCAGCTGACACCCGGTTGGAATGAACCCTCATCTGGAGCTCACGAACACGCTCCTCTGCTACCAGGGCTGCACACACACACACACACACACACACAGTTCCAATTATTATCAATAAATTGTAAAGGACATTTTCTGAAACTGACAACTTTATTTTACATTTACACTACATCACATTTAAACACACCAAGTGATGTTCACAGCAACTTACTGTGTTCCCATGTGGTAGTTTATGCTGAAAGTTGACATATGAATAACCCTACAATTATTGCCCTGATCAAACAAGGTGTTGACTGAAATGGCAGCAGAATGGCCTGTATTGGCTTCCTATATACTGATACTACCTAAGGCCAGGTCTAATCCCTCAAACAACTATGCTTACATTATAAAAACCCTTGAAGCTAAATAAGCTCCTGATACAGCTTAATATTCCTCCTGTGGATAATACATCAAATATAACAATTTGTATTTAACGCAAGTCCAGTGGCGTCCACTGATCAGTCTGCTCTGATTGGTTACGCTCCTGTTTTCCTAAACAGGACTACATTGACAATGTACAGAATGATAATAATAACCTTCCTCCAGCCTTTTTGCAGCTCATGAAATAGGATTTTTGAAGCCAGTTTTTTTTTCTTCATATGATAAATCATTTGTATTCAAAATACAGGGGCATTAGAGTTTGACATAATGAAGAAGAATCAAAGAATACACTGTAAATGTCTGACACTGTATCTGTCCATGTCAGTCAGCACCTGTGATGTCTTCATGGGTTCCAGGTATCTTTGCCTCGAGCCAAGCCTTTGGTGTCTTACTTACTAGATCATCAGGGTGGAGACTGAAACCTGACTTGTTCGAGCAGGATTCAGTTATTCAGACACAGCCTGTATATCATACCTTGTTCTGCAGTGTTGCTCTTGGGGGGAAGCTGTGGGAGCTGTCTCACTCTGCGGGCTGAGGAGGACGTCACTGAGGAGGAAAGAGACGCACCACCTTGGAGGTGGCCCCTAACAAAAGATAACATGACAGAGAGGCACACAAAAAGTGGGAGGGAGAAAAGGCAAGAGGGTTGAAGAGGAGAGAGAAGAAGAAAGAAAAAAACAGGGAATAAAAGAATGGGAATAAAAAAGGAGAGAGAATGATATTAAGGTCAACATGTTTGTCATCCAGGGGGTTTACTCCTGCACCGCTGGTCGGTTTCACAAGTTCATCTGTAGGAACATTTCCTATTTATATCTTCAGAGGAATCATAAATAAAGTTGCATAGAGAGCATCAGTCATGGAAATGAATGAACAGCAGCGATATTTGGGCAAACAGTCAGTGGAAACAACAAATTCACAAAGTGAAGCAAAGTGAAGTGTTAGGGTTTTAAAGTTGGGACCCTGTTGCCAGAAAGAGCAGCAAATCAAGTTTTTGAAAGAACACAGAAGAGGTGAAAGCCTTTAAAGCATCAATCCAACCAGTTCTATACACATTTAATCATTCTGATCCATTCTTACACAAGACCTGGGAACAGGGGTTGTTCATGAATCCTTCACTTTCTGTTTAACTGTGATTAACCCTATAATTAGTCGGTGTAGTTTCAATTAGAGCAGCTGCATGTTCCTCTACATTGTATTCATAAATAGTACCAGAAAACTAAGGCAGTTGCATTGTTATGGTACGTTTGAAATGTTTCCCATTGATTTGGCTATTGACTCCATTATACTCAAATAAGGCAAGAGAATAATGATGATGATGTAATTAATCGTTTTTTTTGTGTTTTACAAATAACCATGTAAATGTTTTTGCAGATAGTGATTGACAAATGATACAGGCCAGTATATACAAAACTGGAACTAACACCAAATAGTTAACAGTCGCACATCCGCTCCTTACACTGATAAACAATGACCTTTCAATGTCCACACAACACTTTCAATGTACAGTAGATACACAAACACAGGAAAGCAGCAGCATCAGAGGCTCTGTTGTGGTAAAGTCGGGTCACAGAGGGACACTGGTACACAAACTGAAGGAGGTACTAGAGGAGTGACAGAGCACAATCCAAATGAAGGGGGATCTCCCTGTTTGTGAGTTACAATGGGTAGGGCTCTCATTCAAGGAGAATCCCCTTACCAAGGGACTGAAGTGGGCCCTTCTTTCCTCTGGCGCCCCTTAATATGGAAGTGGGTTTAATTCTGGTACACATACACAAATGTGCAGTCACGTCAGTTTCATACAAACCCAGAGCCAAGCAACGGAATGTGTGAGCAGCAGCATGCAAGAAGAAGAAAAGGTCGGAAAATGGGTGGAGGAAGAGAGGAAAAAACTAAAATCAAAATAAATGAAAATCGAACAGAAAGTGTAACATATTAGCAGAAGAGCTCGCTTGCAGGTAGTATTACCCTAAGCCCATATTATAGAACATGTCAGGAAAAACTGTTGTATAGTAACATAGTACTCAGGGTTTTTCCTGGATGAAAATGAGATGGGACTGAGACATCAGTGGGGGGGTGGGTGAGAGCAAGGTGCCAGTGCTGTGCCAAGTTCTGCCCGCCAAGAGTAGCATGGACCTTGTGGGTACAGGTACAGCTACAGCAGAAAGAAGCTACGAGACGTAATCACCTCGATGGCAATGTAATGTTTAAAAACTATATAATCTTGTTGTTGTTTATTAATGATGATAAATGATCCAATGCCTAGTGTCCATTAATGTTTCTACATTGCCGTATAGAAGATTATGTCTGGTAGTGTCTGTTCGAGGCAGAGGAGGCATTCAATTTGACAGAGGCGGCTGCCTCACAATTCTCTATGCAGGAAAAACCCTGGTATTTTAGTATGACAAAAGTTCACACACCACATAAGAATTTCCATATGCTTACAAAAGAGCACATGGGGCTCTTGAAAAACCAGACTGGGTGTAAGCTCAATATCCATTTATATAGGCTACTCCAGTTTTTTCTGCCCAAGGCACCCCAAAGGGTAAGCTTTTAGTCATACCTGTATTACTGTTCATGCAAAATAATCTCTATAACCCATGTCATCACTCATATCAATCTTTACACATTAATTCTAATTCAAAATGATAACATAAAAACTATATAAGTCATTGAATATTATTAACAAAATAATTCATAATTTAAAAAAATATTTTACATAACAGCAGAAAAATGGGCAATTTAAATGTTTGGTTTTTTCGTATTACTTCTTCTGCTCTGTTATCTATTTGTTGACGGCTTCACAAAGAAACACAAGTGTGCTGCAACACACCATCTGGGAACCACTGGGCTACTCTGTGACTGCAGGTCAGTGGATGCTACCTTCAGCTCGCCTCCACATATTAATGTGCAGCCATGTGACCATGAAGTGGCAGAGGAGATACGAGACAAATGCTATAACTAAAATGAAACTTGTCATCGCTGTCACCTACACCGATGACCATAAATTGACTGTATATAGTAAGCTGAGCACTAAAGGTCCATGAACCTATTTAAAACCAATACTACTGACTCATATGGTTAATGTTTACGTTTCTTTTACAAGACAGGGGCAAAAGATAATGGCAGGAACAGATTCAATTAGTCTGGATGTGTAGTTGTGTACTTTCTGCCAGTGACCTCACACCATTTGACATGTGCTGAGCCTGCAGTACATGTCTTACCTGCCACTGCCAGAGAGCTTCCTGCCATGAGTCTGACATTCAGGTGTTTCCAGGGTCCGAGGCTGTCTGGAGGATGGTGGATGGGCAAAGGGAGCAATATAAAACAGAAAAAAAGATGGATGGAGGGATGGATGGAGAGCATGATAGATGATAAATAATTTAGTGTTAGAAGAATCTGGGTCTGCTGGGGCTGTGGGGGGGTGGCATTGGATTTATAAGTTTATGATCTGGAAAACAGGAAATATGCTGTGATGCATGGCATGATGGTTTCATGAATAAGAGGTGTCACATAACAGTGTGTTGGGGTGTGTGTGTGTGTGTGT